CCATGAAATCTTCCCCCATCTCCCTTTCTCGTAGCATCGTAGGAGGCACAGTCTATTCAGCTGCAGCTCGCTGAAAACTGTTCCTAACCCTGACTGTCTCCGACACTCCTCACATCTTTCCAGTTCTGCTATATTCTATTTGAATAGAGGGAGCCAGAACTGTACACAATATTCATCACACCGGTGACTGTATACTTACAGTCAAATATACATTTTTCATTTTGTCCTCTGTATATTTCTGACCTTTAATTTGGTTTGGGGTTTTTTTGCTACTACTGCTGATCCTTGACTAGACATTTTCCTAGAACTATTTGCTATAAGCCTAATATTTCAATCCCAAGTGGCTCTGAGTCCATCTAGACTAAGTTTGAATTCCACCCCTGCCCCCAGGCAATACCTTACATTCATCCACACTTCATCCTCCACCTCACTGCCCAGCTGCTCATCACTGAGACATCTGTCTGGGGCTCCTTGCAGCTGGTCTCATCTTTACTACCCTGAACAAAACTTTCTCAGCTGATCTTATTGTAAGTTTATTCAAGCTATATTTAAGGATGGTCAATGAAAGCATGCAGGAGAGATGGTCTTGTACAAGCTTACCATGACCAACTGACAAGTACTCCAGCAGCAAGTAGCTGTCCAGCACCTCTACTGCTCTGTTAACCAAGCTCTCTGGAGGACTGAATCCACCACAGCTCACTCAGGTACAGATCTCCCTTCTATTACTGATGACATGGAAGCATGAGTTACAAAGCTTTAGAAGCTCAAGCAAGTTCCCTCTTCAGAGCATGATATGCAGGTTAAAAGTTAAAATTTTTATGCAGCTTCCTGGTCTGATTGGGAGTAACTGAAGAAATTAACCTGTGCTTTAGTTCTCCAGGAATGAAACAGGGATAGTAACTTTCTTTCCGTCACAAACAAGTTGATAAAATAAAATCAACTAATGGCTTCTGAGCGCTCTGATACCAGAGCCACAAATACTATGTAAGGATCGTAATTCTTCTGTACTTCTTGCCAGTGCTATCTGTGGCTCAGCTAGACGTTTGTTTTCAGACGTCTTTATTCCAAGAACTTCTATTCCCAAAAGAAATCTTGATAGCTTGTTCTCTCCCTCCTGTCTTTTCCAGCGTTAATGCTATTGTATTTGTTTAATGGGGTTAATATGCTGCTGGTATAATAATGATCACGGATGGATGTAATTATTATGTGTGATTAATTCTGCAGCTGCTGAAAAGCTTGAAGGACTTTTCTTAGGCGAGGGAGTATCTTTACAATAGTCCTTCTCAAACTGCATTACACACAGGCGTAAACCCCAAAAGAAATGTAGAAGGGGAAAGAACAAAGGCTGGATTAGAGGAGAGAGAGCTGCAGTCAGCAGAGCAGCTGATGAATGTTAAACATCATGTGGGCAGAGACCATCTCTCTGTAGTGTGTTTATACACTGACTAGCACAAATGATTCCTGGTCCATCACTACAATCCCAAGGTATTACTACCATGCACATAGTATGCAATTCGTTATAAATTTTTAAAGATGTGTCTGCCAGTGGTGTAAGCTTCTCTTGTTGCTTTTTTTTTCTATAATAAACATCCTTTAAATGAACACACTTGGTTTTATTCTAAGAAGATACAATACCACAGACCAAAATATTAACCCCTACAAAATGCTAGCACAGGTTGATGACTTTTACGATAACCAAAGAGAATGAGGTGCACAGCACACAAGCCATTAGAACTAAAATACCAAGTGTGTCCACATCTGACAAAACTGTAGATGCTTTTCTGCATGAGGCTTCTTGGTACACACTGATAATTTACGGTCCGATGCTGCAGCCATACTCTTGAGTGCTCTTAAGTGCTCTGAGTGATAATTGATCTATTTGCGTGATCAGGGATTGTAGACTCAGGCCTACAACTCAGCATGTTCCCCAGAACAATATCTGGACACTCATCCTTGACCAAACTATCCTTAAATCCCATATATGAGACCTGAAGAGAATACACTGCCTGCAAGATTTAAGTCTCTGTAAACTGTCCAGCTGTTTTCTAACCCAGTTATTACCCACGCAAGCACTCATGACTTTGATATTTACCTGATTCAGTTCAAAGGTTTAAGTGAAGGAGAAGATGTGCCCAGGAAAAACTGAGATGAGTACAGTCTTCCTTTTCTTCTCCAGAAAACCGTTTGTTTTAGCTTCTGCAGCCTTTAACACCTAAAATCACCAATGGGCCAGTCCAGTTCCTTCTTCTTCACACAGTGAAATCCCTGTGCAAGGATGCCAAGGAGGGAGCACGTAGGCTGCAGGAGATGCTGAGCTCAGCTGTGCAGGACCACAGGTGGCAGAGAAGAAGGTCAAGGTGGGCAAAAAGCACAGCTGGAGAATTTGCTGTCGTGCAAGACTCTTCTGCCATCTCCCATAGCTGCAGCTGTCAGCAGCAGACAATACTAAAACCACTGGGCTGCAACAGTACCCCGTATGGGTACCACCATATAGGTTCTGTGCATGCAGGGCTGGGAATGGAAATGGATTCTGCCCATTGACTTCTCTCAGTCCCACCATAAATGGCTGCCCTGAATAGCAGTTTGGGCTTGGTATTTAAGTGTCCCAAAGCGCTTTTATATCTGAAATTCCCATGATACTTCAAAGAAATGAATCACTCCCTCTGAGCCTTAAACAACAGAACTGCAGATAGGACAGATTTGAGAAAACACAAGTGCTATTTGCTCACCCTCCAGAAAGGGAGATAGCAGTTTTAGTTTTCACCTAGTGAAGGACTTATCGAGCATCTCATTCAGCCACCAGCATGTTTCAGACAGTAACGATCAGACCTCACAGCAGTGCCTGCAGGAGTTATCAGTGAAATGCTACTCCAGCATCTGAGACAAGTGCTGGTTTTCTTCCTGCTTTTAAATTTCTTTCCATTTCTGCTTCACTGGGTTTTCCTTTTCTCACCACACTACTGGGAACTTTATAGGTGCAGAAGAACAATGCTGAATGCAGAAGTAACAACTTGATTTGGAATAAAAGTAGGTTGTGATAGGTTCAGAATTTCCCTGTAATCATTTATTAATTTGCATGTTTGCCCTAAAAACTGATCTAACACTGAGAGACACTAGTCTGACAATGTTAAAGTTGATATGGATAGGGAAAGAATGTGAAGAAACAACTCAAGATAACCTTAACAGCAAAGATGGAAGAACTGTTATGAAATCATTTCAGGACTATTAGTTTGGGTGGCTGACAGAAGACTTTGGCCAGCATATTGAAACGATGCAACTAGGTTTATCTGCCTTAGACTTGTAATTCTCGAGGGACTGACTGATGATGGATTATTTCTGTAATATATGGAAGTATAGTTTAGTGGAAACTTAAGTTTTCACGTCCATATATTGAAGCATTACATAAATATTTTGCTAGCTCTGGGACAAAGAGCACAGTGTGGCCAGCAGGAGCAGGGAAGTGATCCTTCCCCTGTACTCTGCGTTAGTGAGGCCACACCTTGAGTATTGTGTTCAGCTCTGGGCCCCTCAGTTCAGGAAGGACATTGAGGTGCTGGAGCGGGTCCAGAGAACAGCAACGAGGCTGGTGAAGGGACTTGAGCACAAGTCCTATGAGGAGAGGCTGAGGGAGCTGGGGTTGTTTAGTCTGGAGAAGAGAAGGCTTAGAGGTGACCTCATCACTCTCTTCAACTACCTGAAGGGAGGTTATAGCCAGGTGGGGGTTGGACTCTTCTCCCAGGCAACCAACAATAGGACAAGAGGGCATGGGCTCAAGCTCTGCCAGGGGAGGTTTAGGTTAGATGTTAGGAAGAAATTCTTTACAGAGAGGGTAATCAGGCACTGGAACAGCCTACCCAGAGAGGTGGTGGATTCACCATCCCTGGAGGTTTTTAAAAAGAGATTGGACGTGGCCCTTAGTGCCATGATATAGTAACTGGAGTTGGATCAGGGGTTGGACTTGATGATCTTGGAGGTCTTTTCCAACCCAATCTATTCTATGATTCAATGATTCTATGATTCTATGAACATCTTGCAAAAGCAATCTTGGCACTTTACAAGCTGGAGATACTATGTCAAATCCAGCAAATGCAAGGAACTGTCAAAGGTTATTACCCTTGACAGGCAGGTAACCACATCACAAAAACCAAACACACCAACAAACAAAAAAATGTTATTTCATAGTGCCATTAGCTGCTGGTTTCAGACAGGAGGCAAAAAAATAATATGAGATGAATACAGCACTGCCATTCAACCCCTTAATGAGGCACCCCAGAAGCAAAGGAGATAACACCACACACTTTGGTTGCATGACGCTATCTATATCATGGACATCAGCACCATCCATCCACTATCCTTCTCAAGGACTAACTCTGCTCCAGCACTAACTAAACCTACTGTAAGGCAATTTACATTTTTTCCCTTAGGTACTGGAGGAAGGAACTCAACCATTGCAACTCAGCAGAACAACTTTCAAATCTTCTTTCTGCAGAAGATTTTCTTGTGTAGCAGTGAAGAATTCACAGCAGGAGGATCCCCAAAGGGCCTAAAGCATCAGGTCACCTAGCACTCAGCAGCACAGCAAGGGGACTAAAGGAAGTATAGCCCTGGGAAACACTTAATGGCAGTAGGCAGGGCCTCTGTAGGTCACATGGTGACATATAATCACTTGAAAAGCACTTCTTTCTTTTTATGGATCTGCTGAGAATTACTCTGTGCTTTGAGTATAATAGCACTTTGCCATAATCAGATGTTGTAAAGGTATATGCAATGAAAGAGACGTTCAGGTATTACTGTCCCATCAGCTGTGTCTTCATATGATTGCCTCCAATTACACTATAAAATTTACCAGAACACGTATTTGAAATAATGCTTTTAATTTTCCATCAGATACTCTGCAAAGAAACCCAGCTCAGAAATGACATAATTGAATATCTTGAGGAAGAAAATAAAAAGCAAATTTTGACTCAATGGCGTTATTTAATAGCAATGAAAGTACTTACCAGGTGGCCTATTAATTGCGAGGTTTCGGAAATGACTGCCTTTGATCATCTCCACTGACAGCCGCCCCGTAGTGGCATTGTATGACAATCCCACGAGCAGCTCTGGCACCCCTCCATGCGACAGGGACTGTGTTGAAGAAGCGCTATCACTGTGAGAGATTGCTGACAGACTAAGCTGAGAGTCTGCACTCTGCAGGGCAAGAGCACTGAGAGTCTTATCAGGACATTCACCACCACCCTCCCTTAATTTATATCTTGTAGCTTTTTGTTTATCAAGATGTCTCTTAAGAAATGACAATGACTAAGAATGAATTATGATGGGGCACCAGAAGAATCAGAGCATCACTTCAACAAAAACACATCTCTGAACTTTCTCTTTAACGATGAGGAACTCTGTGTAATGTGTTATCACTAGTGCAAATCAAAGCCTCTGAGATAAGCATCCATCCTACTACATCAAATACACAGTAAGTCTCCTTGACAGTGACTTTTGGATGGAATGCATTTTGCTGGGTTGTTTTTTTTAAGTCATGTACTGTGTATTTTCTTACTTTCTTTTCTTGCTACCATGATGCTTTCTCTACCTCCTCTTCACCCAGAGGATGATGTTTTATTCATTTCACATGCACAATCTTTCACTGAGCTTTCTGTAGATGATGAATCATGACAGAGCTCAGCTACACAAATTGATTGGCATAGCTAGAGTTGGATACAACTGTGATGTGTATGGAAGACTATGAAGCAGCGCAGCCAGTTCCTTCTCACATGACCCACCTCTCCACTTCCATCTGTCATGAAAAGGAACATTGCTAAGCATTCCTGGTAACATAGAAACTCCAAACACAGAGTAGCTAGCACCAAATGAGGTAGCTCTTGCACTGGCAGTAGTACAGGTTCACCAACATAACAATGCACAAGAACTACTGTCCTTGTTGAAATTAAGACGTAATTAGCCTTGGTGGTTCTGGGACCAAGCTACTATTTCTGCATGGCACATCATTTGATGACTTGTGTAGATGTAGCACATCTACATGACTTTGTGTAAGCTTGCTAGCTGAGTCACTGTTAATAAGGCACAGCTTTGTGTATGGAAGACATGCCCTGTGCTTTCCCCTCACTGATAACTTTTTAAGTGACAGCAGGACAGATCCACCAACATCCTAACAGCCCTGAATGAGAACTATCAGGTACAGCTGGTCCCCATTCACCAGATGAACAATTTTACAGACTCCATATTTCTTTCACCAAACTTACGCTCAAATTACTCCTTGGCTCCAAGACCAACGTCAGCTTCACTTCTCCTTCTTGGCTGATGTTGCTCAGGTAGAACAACTGTTCTCCCATCATCTTCTCTCCAATCATCTTGTGTACCGCATAGAGTCGGAAACGAATGGCGTGGCTGCTCAACTCCTCTGGCTCCAGCTTACTGAAGGTAATTTTATCCTTGAAGCTTGGGATGGGTCCTCTCTGAACGCTTGTCTTACCCCTCTGTTTCTTGCTAGGCATCAGGACTGTGTGCACTTGCCAGGTGTTGGCACCACTGCGGTCTTTGTCTGGGATATCTCTGGCCTCCAGGACCGTAACTACTAGCTTTTGACTTGAGGCTTTATAGTGGAAGATGACATCTAGATCACCACATTTACAGATGGGCTCATGAGCACCATGATGAGCTGGTACACTCTTCCCTTCATCATGTTCCTGCAAAGAGAAGGAAGAAGTAAAACCTCCACTGGAGTTCAACTCCTCTGTGATCCCAACTCTATTTAAAAAAATATTCTCCTCACTTGTGCCTGCAAGTATAGGCAGTTGCTCTGCAAAATAAGGATTCCACTGTTTCTTGAAAAGCTGGTGCTAGTTAATTGCCTGATTTTGTGCAATATTCCCATACAATCTAGTAAGCAACAGCACTTGTTGAAACATTTCCAGCAAAAAGTTTCATCAATATTTAAGTGTTCTGCAGGAGACTGTTAATTTGGAAAAATTCTACACAGGGAAAAACTAAAGAAAATTTTTTTAAAAAAACTTCATTCATTTAAATTTTGAGGCATTAATAATACTTTAGGGTTTAATTTGATTTTAAAAAACCCACCAGCTTAACCTATTACTTTGAACATACATTGGAATTTTTTCAAAATGGATTTTTTCACATTACAGAAATCAAACTATTCGGTCAAACTTGCTGACTTTTTGGATATTTTATTCTATTGGAAATTTAAAAAATTAAGCACTGTGTTCAATTTGATGGGAATGGAAACCACCATGTCAGAACTTCTTATAGAATGGAAATTCTATTTCTAGGTGCTATCCTATAATTCAATACTTTTCCTACAGCTAAAGCAACAATAATCGAGAAAAGCAGTCTGATTAAATACATATTGATTCTTTATTACCTTTTTAAATCTCCCAAGAGAAGCAGCTGTTCCTTCTGCTCAGTTTGGATACGAACATATCCAGAATAAAAATTCAAAATAAACAACCAAAGCATGTGCAGACTAATTCACATACAATCTTTTACCTACTTAAAAAAAAAAAAAATCTTGATAAAACAAGATAAAAACCATGGATGCTCACCTTACCTTTTGATGAGTGGGTGTGTGCGTTTCTGTTCAAAAGTGCTTTTTTATCTTAGAGCTAGAATGTGCTTCATGTGATAAAGGGGTTGCTATAGAGATCAATGATTTGTATTTAAACATGAGTATACACTGTACTAGGGAAAGTTTTTTTTGATTTTCAGTTAATAGCCAGAAGGTGAATTAAGGCCTGTCACTAGCAGTCTGAGTCACCCTCCTCCTCAAACATCTTCTTTCACATTTCAAATAACACTTCTTCTCAACATGGGAATCTTATTGTTTAGAGTACAGTTGATGGGCCATAGGACTTCTGATGCAACTCCCTTCAGAAGTGTCTGGGGTGGTACGTGTCTCAAAGAAGACCTTGGACTAACCTCAACATTTATCTGCTTTTCAAGTGCTCAGATTCATCTGCCATGACATGCAAAGCTCCAGCTTTTCATAATTTCATAAGTGTATAAGGGATTTGTGTATGTGAATTCAAAAGTCTATGCGTGCACATTAGTGATGGAGACCTGCTGTCATACATCTTGCAGAAGTAAAGTCAAAGAGAGAAAAATCAGCCCTTGGACAGCACATGAAATGCTTGGTTGCCCGTAGAAATGCCTCTCTGTAGGAACAGCAGGCTGCAAAGACAGCCAGGTTGCCCAGAGAGAATGTGATGTTATGCAAATGTTAAGTGCTGCTGTGTAGCTGTCAAGTTATTTCTGTCTGGTTGATGAAATAATATTTAAGAAGGAAACATAATGGGATTGCACTTGATTCATGTTTCCTTCCACATGTTCATCTCTCCCCACTTTCATCTGTGTATTTGGTACTGAGGAGATGGAATCAAGGCACATTTTAGAACTGCTGCTTAAGTGTGGAGACAATTGTCCTTGTGGCATAATGTTGCTTTCATCTACATGCCCGAGCTGAAGCATGTGAACTCCTATTCGTCATCATAAACCCACAGGTATGAAGATCCAAGAGGCACTTTCCTGCCCCAACAGGGCTGAGTATCTCATCTTCTGGCAGCGTGTAGGGCAGACTGAAGGTCAGCTATCTGGTTTTTGACAGAACAGCTAGAAAGGACCTGGATTTTAGGAAACCACAAATTGTGCTAGTATAGCTGTAGCCACATCCACTGCAGAGAAAACTGCAAGAACAGGAGTCAGAGGGGCAAAGTGAAACGCCAGACTCTGTGGCAGTGACCTTTCTGTGGGCAATGAAGCTTTAGAGACCTCATGGGCTGGCTCTTTCAGAGAGCACTGTGCTATGTGGGACTCACCCCTGTACAGGCTTTCAGCACACAAAGCTTACGGATGCTCAGTCTTCTTCTGTGGAACTCATTGACAGAATTCCCCTGGGCTTTTGGAGTTCAGCTGGGGCTATGAGCCCTTTGTGAATGTGTGGGTTATACAGACACTTAAACTGGAATCCAAGGGAAGTGTGGGTTCTAGATACTTCATCTGAATTTCTTTTTCTCCCTCTTCCCAGCATAGTTGCTGAGATGTCAAGCCAAGTATACTGATTGATACTGTATGTCTAACTCAGTCGTTCAGGACAGACAATACCCACTTCGCTAGGTAAAATAAGTCCATTTCTGCCAGAGAAACCTGAAAGAGCAGCTAATTCTGGACAAAGCTTGAAATGGTACTTGTGGTTCTACTGCAGAGGCATAAAATTATCATTTTTGTCTATAAAGAGAGGTCCTTTGAGTGGAGCATAATAGCGCTTGGACATTTCTGGCATGTCAGAACATTTAGTTCCTGCAATAAAAAGTCTTTCATTAATCCACACAATACCTTTGTATGAGAAGCTGCTTGTAGTAGATAAACTGGGACTTGGGCATATCTACCCCCTGATGCTATAACCATTCTTTGCATGTTTAAAATGTAGATACCAGAAGCAAAATGAGAGATGTTCCAAAGAAATATAAGAGGACACTGGAGATCTTATATTCCACTGGAAATATAAGAGGACACGCAGCACATGTGAACCACGACAGTGCACATCAAATGTGGAAAAGGAGAAATGAGCCTCAGATGGGCAGACAAACAGTGTGTGTCTGAGGCACAGAGCAAAGAGATGGCAAGGCTGCCACCTTGTCGAGTTCCCACGTGTTCTGTAGCATTTTGTGGAGGTATTAATTTCCATGGCTGAAGAACAGTCTTTTTTAACTCAGGCAGATGTGACCTTTGTGTTGTTCTTTTAATGTCTGATGCAGGCTGATATTTTTTCAGAAATTTAATCTTGTGGTAAAATAATAATGAAAACTAACACATCATGCATGAGAAGAGAAAAGGGGGATGTTAAGTCATCAGGTGCTTACAATGCCTTAAAATCTGTAATGTTTTCTTGAAGCTTCAAAATAAAGGTACAGAACTAAGGGAAAGCAGAGGAGTTCTCAGGTTCTCTCCTTCCCAGGAAGGATACCTGGTATCAATGGGGACCAGAGTGATGGTCACTTAGCCAAGTGAATGACCACCCCCACCAGTTGCCTCCAGCTTTCCAGATGCTTTCAACTGTCTAAGCCATAGAAACCACCCAAAAGAGAGGCACAGATCTGACCCAGTGACCACATACCATGTTCCTAGACACATTCCCTGCTCATACAGCCAGTAAGAAAGCCCTGGGCCATTGCTAAATGATAGTAAAAACTGTCAGACTGTTAATGGTTCCAATTTCAGTTCAAAGATTGCAGTCAGAAATCAAGCAATAAAACAGCTTCTCTGAATGAGTGTTAGTAGCAAGAAGTAAAATACAAGAAAAAGAGGAAACACAGAGAGGGGTGTATGTTCATGCACCCAGGAGGACCATGATCTTGTGCTGTGCTGATCAGTTTTCCACTTCATTTCTCCCCTAACATTTTTTGGCCCCCAGTATCCTTCAAAAGCTTACACCGTGTGTAATAAACGACAGTTCACCATACCTCAGGGCTCCAAGCCGACGAGCTGTCAGTAGCGTCATTTACTTCAAATATCTGGTTGGTATATGCTGTCTCCGTTTCCAAACAACCTTCCGTGGCTTGCTGGCCAATGCCATCGGCAATGCTGGACTCCATCCTAGGCCCTTCACGCTGTCCAGTGCCCCTGCTCTCAATTGTTGTTCTTGAATCAACAGATACGTGGTCATCTTCAAAATAGGACAGGTTGTCTTGGTAACTCAGTTGGCTTAGTCCATCCAGATCTAACAATTTTCAGCAAGAAAATAAATTCAGAGGGATTAGAACAAATTCCTCCCCCTCTACCCCCAAAAATGTGTCTTTCTCTCCTTTCTTTTCATTTTTTTCCCTCCTCCAGTACACGCAAGAGACAGTTTCTACTTCTGAGTACTGCAGCACTGAACTTATAAATTAACAAATCCTGTATAAATCAGCATTTTATAGAGTGGATGTGGCTGTTTCTCACCCCATCCTGAACTGAGAAACCAGTTGGCTTTACTTCAAGAAGTAAACCACCAAATGCAATTATGAATGGAGTGTTTGGGACATCCAAGTGCCTTGGGGCTGCTTTGTGGCCCCAGAGCAATCACTTCCATGAAAACACAGGTCAGACAAATTACAGAAAAGCACAGCACAGCCTGATGAACAGCTATCCGCAATTTCCTTCTATGCAGGAGGAAGAGGAGGAAAGCAGCATTGCCCTCAGGGGGATGGTGCTAGTGAGGAAAGGAGTTTCATGGAGATTACAGAGTGCCACCACGACCCTATCACCCATCCCTGAGAACTTTGATGTGCATGACCAGCCCCACAAGCCCACTAGGAATCTAAATTGTCCCAAGGGCAACTGAGGGGAGATGTGTTCCCTAATTTCCCGCCTGCTTTTATTAGTTTTATTTCATCTGATCCTACACACTTACTCCATGGACTAAAGTAAGTTTTGTTAATGATAATAAAATAATCTTCTCTGGTTCAGACTACAGATTCCTTGTCTGCACCACTGAAGTACCTATTTTGAACACAGAGCACTTTACTTGAAGGCATTAGTGAGAGCTCTGTGGGTGGAGCAACACAGATAATTACATGTGCAGGGACACAGATGAAAATAACATCATGAGTTGGCCATGAATGTGTTCTGCTAGCACTTTCAGAAGAAAAACAGGGACCTTCCTCCTCCTAATGCATCTGATGCCAGGTCTTGCTTTAGGAACACAAAGAGCTAGATTCTGTCTCCACCTCTTTCAAATAAGCAAGGAGTAGTTACAGTGAAAGAAAACAAGTTGTGCTTCCAGACAGCTGATGACAGTAATGAAAACAGAATTACTTCCTCTGCAAACAAAGCTATTTAGGGTTTAAAGGTTTCACAGAATGGTTGAGATTGGAAGGGACCTCTGGAGGTCGTCTTGTTCACCTCTCCCTGCCCAAGCAGGGCCACCTGCTTGTTGTTCTCAAACCTGCGGGTTTGTTCTCAAGAAGGTCATTATTATAGAACAATCATTTTTTCCCAAATTTGGTCTCCAACTCAAATCTTTAACGAGCAGCACTAATTACTGTGTTTAATAGAAAATTGTTAGTTTGCTTTGGTTCAGATGAATCTATCTTTTAATATCCCACCTGATAAATGAGATAGGGAACCTGGTGACAACTGACATGGAGAAGGTTGAGGTACCAAACAACATTTTTGCCTCAGTTTTCATTGGCAATTGCTCATCCCATAACTCTTGAGTCCCCGAGTCTCAAGGCAGGGACTGGAGAAATGAAGTCTCATTTATTGCAGGAGAAGACCAGGTTTGAGACTCTCTGACGGACCTGAACTTTCACAAGTCCGTGGGACCTGATGAGATGCATCCCAGAGTCCTGAGGGAACTGTCTGATGTAGTTGCTAAGCTGCCTTCCATCATACTTGAAAAGTCATGGCAGTAAGGCAAAGTCCCCAGTGACCAGAAAAGGGGAACTTCACACCCCTTCTTTTAAAGGGTAAAAAGGAGGACCCTGGGAACTACCAATCAGTCAAGCCTCACCTCTGTGCCCAGTAAGATCATGGAACAGACGGAAGATATGTCAAGGCATGTGGATGGCAGGAAGGTGATTAGACACAGTCAGTATGGCTTCACAAAGGGCAAACCCTGCCTGACTAATCTGGTGGCTGCCTACGATGGAGTGACTGCATTGGTGGATAAGGGAAAAGCAACAGAGGTCATCTAACTTGACTTCTGTAAGGTGTTTGACATGGCCCCACACAACATCCTTGTCTCTAAATTAAAGAAATATGGATGGAGGGACTATCTGATAGATAAGGAGTTGGCTGCAAGGCCTCATAAAAAGAGTGGGCTCAAGCTCTGCCAGGGGAGGTTTAGGTTAGATGTTAGGAAGAAATTCTTTACAGAGAGGGTAATCAGGCACTGGAATGGCCTGCCCAGAGAGGTGGTGGATTCACCATCCCTGGAGGTTTTTAAAAAGAGATTGGACATGGCCCTTAGTGCCATGATATAGTAATTGGAGTTGGATCAGGGGTTGGACTTGATGATCTTGGAGGTCTTTTCCAACCCAAACTATTCTATGATTCTATGAGTTGCAGTCAATGGCTCAATGTCCAAATGGAGATCAAGTGGTGTCCCTCAGGGGTCTGTACTGGGATTGGTACTGTTCAATATCTTTATTAAAGACATAGACAGTGGGATTGAGTGCACCCTCAGCAAGCTTGCAGATGACATCAAGCTGAGTGGGGCAGTTGATACACTTAAAGGAAAGGATGCCATCCAGAAGGACTTTGACATACTTGATAAGTAGGCCAATGTGAACCTCATGAAGTTCAACAAGGCCAAGTGCAAGGTCCTGCACCTGGGTCAGGGCAATCCCCAGTATCATTACAGACTAGGGGATGAATTGTTTGAGAGCAGCCCTGTAGAGAAGGACTTGAAGATACTGGTGGATTAAAAATTGGATACGAGCCAGCAATGTGTACTTACAGCCCAGAAGGCCAACCATATCCTGGGCCTCATCAAAAGAAGCATGGCCAACAGGTCAAGGGAGGTGATTCTCCCACTCTACTCTGGATGAAGTCTTACAAGAGCAGAGTACTGCATCCAGCTATGGGGCTTCCAGCACAAGACATGGACCTGTTAGAGCAGGTCCAAAGGAGGGCCACAAAAATGTCAGAGGGCTGGAACACCTTTTCTGTTAAGAAAGGCTGAGAGAGTTGGGATTGTTCAGCCTGCAGGAGAGAAGGTGTCAGGAACACCTTATTGCTGCTTTTCAATACTTAAAGAGGGCTTAGAAGAAAGATGGGGAGAGACTTTTTACCAGGGCCTGTAGTTACAGAGCAAGGGGCAATGGTTTTAAACTGAAAGAGGGTAGATTTAGATTGGATATAAGGAAGAAATCCTTTACTATGAGGCAGTGAGACATCACCTGGAACAGGTTGCCCACAGAAGCTGTGGATGCCCCATCACTGGAAGTGTTCAAAGTCAGGTTGGATGGGGTTTTGAGCAACCTGATCATGGCAGGAGGGTTGACTAGATGATCTTTAAAGGTCCCTTCCAACCCAAGCCATTCTATGATTCTCTATACACCCCTCTGTCCAGAACAAAAAGCTCAAATCTTTCCGAGTAGAAGAAATTCTGTGTTTGGCCTTAGTGCAAATATGCTGTTTCTGATTCATACCTGCTCCACACACACAAAAAAAAAAAACCAACAAAAAAAACCAAAACCCAACCAACAAAAAAAACACCACAAAACCAACAAAATCCCAAACACCCCACCAACAAGAGGAATGGGGATTATACTCAGGAAACATTTCCTGGAGGTGTGCAGAAGTCCTTGCCCCTCTCCTTGGCTGCCCTTTCAATTTAACAGCTCAGAGATTATCCAATCCCCAACATTCTGTGATTCTGTGAGAATAACTTTATCCCTTTTCCTCAACTACAAATGGTCTCACATTCTCCCTCCCAGTAAAATGCTTCAGCCACGGGCACTTCAACAGAGAAGTATGAGAGCACCTCACAGCTTTGTAATTACGGTCCTCTTCTGAGATGTGGGAGATGGTCCTTCAGGAGGAAAGAGGGATCCAAATTCAGATCTCTCAAATTCCAGGTGAGTGCTCTTCTCACTCCTTTCTGAAATGCAAAATCCACCACTTCTCCTCCTCATCCTCCCACCTGGCAGACCTAGTCCTGATACCAAGAGCCCTCATTGTCTCGCCTCTGCCCTGAGCTGAAACTCTTGAGTGAGGATAGAAAGTAATTAGATTTTTCCCCATTACTCCCAGTCTTCTCTACAAAGTCAGAAAACAGAAAGAGGTAAACATAAGAACGTAAGCAAGAAATAAAATAACAGAAATTCCACAGATTTACTGAGACCAAATGGGTACAGGAGCTCCTTAAGGCATTTAATTAGCAAGCCAATGTCTAATACAGATTTTAAACAGTGGGTCATCCATCAAAGCACACACCACACAGCAGGCTTTCAGAATAAAACGTTACTGTAGTAAGAAATTATCCTCACACAATTGTCTTGTGGTTTTGACTCCTGCTGGGATAATATCTAGATCAATAATAGAGGAATTTTCAAAAACTACATTAAAGCCATAAAAGGCTATTCATAACAGGAAAACTCCAGAAATATATTAATAGAGCAAGTCATCTCTCTAAGACTCAGGCACAAAATGAATGTGTTAGGAAAGCAAATGTTGCATTCAGGGAAAGGAAGGGAAAAGGTGATTCACCAAAACCATTTAGTGAAACAGTCTGGCTTTTTCTTTAAATTTAAAGTGGTTTGGTAAGAGATAATCACTTATAAATACCAGTATTAGAGGATCATTACAGGTAATAACCCAACTATACAGACTAGAACAACTACACCTCTCCAATTACATCCGTTCTAACATTATATTCACAAAAAAAAAAATGGTCAAAACAGAAGTTCTTCATGTAAAGGAAAAGGTCAGAGCAGTAAAATGCCTGTAATTTACCTGAGAGATCTTTAAGGAAGAAAATGTCAACTTGTCTTATGAATACCTGACATGAATAAACATCACAGTATCTGGGATATACATTGAAACAGCATTATTTAACTATCTGAACTTTAATTATCCAAGAATCCCTGCAGAGCAATAGCAGCCAATTCTAAAATTAAGGGCAGATAGCACTGTACACTTTTAAAAGAGCGCTGTTTTTTTCAGCCCTGTTCCCAACCTTTCCCTGTTGTGTCACATATGCCCACAAGCCAAGAATAAGGGGAACACTAGAGA